CAGGCATTGATAATTATGTACATCACGGATCAGACTGGACCTTTTCCAAACAGCTACCATTCCTACTTAAAAGCAATTTCTAATTCATTGGTTAAATGACTGAATCTGTTTCTGGAAGAAAATCTGGCATTTGACTGAACTTGAATCTGTGGGGCAGTTGTTCAAAATTGAATCTTACAAACTATTCTTCATGCTTCTAAGGCATGTTCCTGTTATAGAGGGGTTGATGGTTATCGGGGAAGGAGACTTGAAGAACATCTAAGTTAATCAACAAAGGAGCTATCTTATTATCTTCACGGCATTTGAAAATTTGGCTTCCCAGCCCTCGGCTGGGATGACTGTAGGCTGGTGGCACTGTAATTTGACATCTAGCAAGGTGTGGTTGCTCTCTTAGGCCACGTAGCTCCAGTAAGGTTCAATTTAAACTGTGAAACAATGAGGAAATGCAAAAGTTCCAATTAACAACATAATCCCCACATAATATGCTCCTGAAATATGTTTTCCATGACTGAATCTCTGCTCAAGTGCACACATGGGGCAGAATATCAGGAAAGAGCTTAGGCTGGTGTTCACTTTCATTTTTCTACTTTTTCTTATGAGGATGAGTGTATTTCTGTCAATGTTATTTATGTTAAATGATAATTTCTGAAATACTAGGAAAGAATAGGTTGATAATTTAAATTGCAACTCAGTAAAACAATCTCTTTAACTCCTTTCTTTAGTTGTTATTTAATATGAAAAATGTAGGACCTGATCTTTGGTATGAATTGTCTCTTTTTCAAAATAGAAATAATTTCATTGAATGTTAAAAGGTAAAGTTGGCATCTTATTTTGTTCTATGGCTTATAATCCTCTAATATCATTTATTTTGATCTTCAATTTATTCTAGATTTGACCAGCTGAAAAAAATATGTATGTGATTATAGAGATAAATATATAGAGAGATCACTGGGTCTCAACCAGGGGACATTTTGCCCCCCACAGAACATTGGACAGTGTCTCATGACATTTTTGGTTTTTACAATGCAGGGGCAGGGGGATGGGTGATGGGGCAGTTCCTACTGGCATCTAGTGGCTTGAGGCCATGGATGCTGCTAAACATTCTACAGGGTGTTAGACTTACCTGATATATATACCTAGAGTTAACTGGCCCAAAATATCAGTAGCACCAAGGTTCAGGAACCCTGATGTGTGTAGATATATGGGGGAATGATAAAATAAACATGGCAAAATATTGACATCACAGTAAAGGGTATGTGGGAATTTTCATACTGTTTTGAAACTTTTCTGGAAGTCTGAAATTATTTCAAAATTTAAAAAAAAGCTTTAAACAGTACAGTTGGCAGTTTTGGTCTTAATATCCTATCTGCAATTTAGAGGTAGAAAACGACTTGTCCCTTGTTGGAAATATAAACTCAGGTCAGTTATTGTCCATGACCTTTGGGTCCACAGTCTTCAGGAGCAGGCAGGGAAGTTAGTAGAGGTCCCAAGTGCCCATATGGCCCATGACTGCATCTGCTCGCTCCCCTACAAGAGCGCATGTGCTTCCTGTCAAGGCCATGTGTAGCCAGAGAACTGATGTTCTGCTTACGCTGCTCTTCAGAACCTGGGGTTGGAAGCAACTGATGCATCTTGTCTGCAGGCTGCATTATGTTTTATATATATCTTACCAAGGAATTGTTCTTAGGTATTTTTCATGAGTTTATACCCTGGTTCCTCAACAATATTGTGGGTTCCTCTGGGTCAGGAGCCCTGCCTTTTACTATATGTGTGTATAATGTAGTGACTAAGAAGAGTTCAGGCTCTGGAGACATCCTGTCTATTTCACCTCTTACTGGGTATGTGACCTTGGTCATATTATGGAACCTGTTTGTGCCTCAATTTTCTCACTGTTGAATGGGGAGAAAAGTAACATTACCTTGTAGAGTTTAAATATCTTAATACTTGTAAATTGACACAACAGTGGCACATATTAAGACCTAAATAAAAGTTGGTATTCATTCATTCATTTATTGATTCATTCTATATTATTAGTATTATTTCTGCCCTCCCCACAATCCTATGCGAAGTTCCCTAACCTTTGTATTAGGGAGATATAATTGATGTGTCCCAGCCATCCAAGTGCTTCTTGCAGCCTTATTGTCTCTGGATCTTGTTGTTTCTATTGCATTGCTTTAACTCAAACATTTTTTGAGAATCTCCATGCTTTGTAACAGGCACAGTGATTCGGACTCTTTAATCTTCTATGTCTCTGTCCCTCTCCCAGCTCATCCCATCCTATCCAACTGTCTTCTTCCATTCATTTAGTATTTCCAATGAGTCATACACTGTCCTAAGGCTTTTTGTTATTTTGTTTGTTTCTTTCTCATGAAAACTCCGTATGAAATGGAGGCCATTATTCTCCTCACGTTACAATTAAGGAAACTGAGGCTTAGGGAGGTTAACTGACTGACTGAGACTACAGAATTAAGAAGCAGTATGGTTTTTCCTCCACTTTTCCAGGGACAATGTGCTTTGAGTGGGGGAGAGCCCTGCCATCTAACTGAAGGTAGATAATAGCTCAAGGAGTTGATCTTCTCTTTTGTTTCACTTCCTCGCAAATCAAGAAGCTAGAGGAGCCATGCACTAATGTGCATTTAGCATCTTTCATGTGCCAGGGGCTGTGCTAGGTGCTGGAGACATAAATATAGAGTCAGTGTCCTCAGTTTGTTTAGTGTCTCATTATCTTTTTCTATGTAACAAAACATACCAAAACTTAGTGGATTAAAGCAATGATTTGTTGTTTCCCATGATTCTGTGGATTTACCTGGGCTCACTAGACAGTTCTTGTGCTCCATGTAATATTGTTTAGAGTCACTCATGTGGTTGCATTTAGGTGGGAACTTGGCTAGGGTGCCCAAGATGTCCTCGCTTACATGTCCTGCAGTTGGTGCTGGCTGTCGGCTGTGGGCCTCTGTTTTTTTCCTGTGGCCTTTCATGCTCCAAGGCCTCTCACCATATGATATCTCCAGTAGGATAGCCTAGTCTTCTTTACATGGTTGCTGGCTTCCAATAGAGTGAAAATGGAAACTACTTTTTAAGATCTAGTTATAGAAGTCACATAGCATCACTTCTGCCACATTCTATGGGCCAAAGCAAGTTACAGGGCTAGCTCAGATTCAAGGGGTGGAGGAAGAGACTCTATCTTTTGATGTGAGAAAGACAGGGGTGGAAGGGATTGCCATAGCCATTTTTGAAAACAATCTATTACACTCACTGACCATCTAGCTCTTTAACCAGAAGTTTTAGAGCTAGAAGTCACTTTACCATCTGATTCAACCCCTGCTAGAGTCTAAATGCTTATATCTCCCTCAAATTCATATGTTGAAATCTAATCACCAATGTGATGGTATTAGGAGATGGAGCTTTTTGGGAGGTGATTAGCTGCCCTCATGAATGGGATTAGTGCCCTTATAAAACAGATCTAAGAAAAGCTCTCTTCTACCATGTGAAGACACAGTTAGAAGGTGCCAACTATGAACCAGGAAATAGGTCCTCACCAGACACCAAATCTGCTGGTGTCTTGATCTTGGATTTCCAAGCTTCTAGAACTGCGAGAAATAAATTTCTATTGTTTATAAGCTACCAAGTCTATGATATTTTGTTATAGAAGCCATCATGAGCTATGATAACCCTAGTTTCATGGATGCAAAAACTGAGACCTGGGAGATCAAGTGCCTGCCCTCGGCCAGCAAGCTTAGTGGAGGAGCCAGGCTTAGAACCTGGGCTTCCCTAGCTGGTGCCATCACCTGCATATGTTGATGTGTGCTTTGCTTTTCTTCCAGCAGAGGATGCCTCTTTGCTGAGTTCTTCTCTGACTCAGGGCTGTCTCTGTTAAGTGTGGAGCCCACAGGGGTACAGAAGAAGGAAAAGGTCTGTTTTGCCTTCTTCTGTTTCCATCCCTGGTAACAGCCTGGGCTAGGCTCCAGAGGTCTTTAATTAGTGATTTGGCCCCATTGACCAGCATTGACCAGGAATCTTTCCTCATCATTGCCTCTTATATATATTCTGAATATGAAATGATGTTGAGTTTTACTATATGCATAAAAAGTGGCTGCTCAAACCCCAACAGATGTTATAAAATAGAATCCAACACATTTATGTAACATTTTGGAGTAGTCTATTATACTATAGTACATTTTTCTAAAATCCACAGACAACTACTGCAATATGAAATGTGTTGCTTATTTTGAAATGGAGCAAGTGAGTTATAAATTATTAATTTCCTTCAGTATAACCACAAACATGAAAATAATTAAGAGGTTTTATTTTCCCAGATCATTAGGATCCAGTTTTAGATTATTCCAAGCCTACTTGGTGGAGGGCAGGTATTTATTTTGTATTAAAGACAATTATCAAATACTGTTCTGAGATTCCCCAACCCTCATGGGGGACGTCTGACTCTTATTGAGCTAAATGAGGAGTGAAATTCTTAGGTTTATGACTTTTTGAAGACCATAAATTTCCAAAGAGTTAGTAGAGATGTTCTCCAGGAAAAAAATATTCACTTGATTTCTACTGTATTGAGTAAATTCTAAATTGAATGAAACTTTTCTTTCATTGTAATAGCATTTACTGTTTTTATAGATTAAATAAGTAATATTTGTTATAAAAATTTGGAAAAGACATAAGCATACAAAGGAGAAAATATAGATCACTCATAATGTCATCTTTTAGTCAAAACCACTGTTAACATTTTTAGTATATATTCTTCCCATAAGAGATAAAGCAATAGATCTAGGGATTAAAATGGCAAGAGAAATGTAGATAGATAGATAGATAGATAGATAGATACAGATATTTTTGTTTTAAAAAATGGGATTATATTATAAAATAATTTTGCAACCAGATTTTTTGGTTTTGATTTTGTTTTGCCTAAATGTAGTAAGAACATTTTTCCATGTCATTAAGTATTCTTTTAGCATACAAGGAAAGTAAATCTTCCTCTCTTGTTTTGACAGGACAGTGATATTGAAGCTTTGGCCAGGTGTTTGCAAAATGTCCTGGGTTGTACCTCTCTAGGTGAGTAAGTTTCTTTAGACTCCAAAATATTGTGACAGCTACTGACTCTATTGGAATATCCAGGAAGTAGAAAGCTTGGAAGGAATCTTATAGATATTTCAGTCTAGCCTCCTAGTTTTACAAATAAGGAAGCTGAGGCCAACAAAAGTTGAGTATCAATGGCCAGAAAACTCAAAGAAGAATTGCTTATTATTACTGTAATTGACTCTCAGTCTCCAAGGATGAAATAATTGAAAATTCGGTGGTCCTTTGTGATCAAATGGTAGCTTAGCAGTGTAAAATAACAGATTTTTCAGTCTCTGAAAAAGGAATCTCCCTACCTCACTTGTCCTATAGAAGCAAATTGCATTCAGTCAAGCTGAAAGGACCATCATTCTGAAGGTTAGTCAGTTATTCAAAGACATTTGGTCTGAAAAACAAAGCTGAAATTTCTTTAGCATTGTCAGTTGCAATAAATTGGGATTGCTGTGCTTCAAGGATAAAACCCCATTTCTTAGATTCTTCTATTTTTTTTATCTGAGAAGCCCAACAATGATAACTTCTAGCACTAGCTGATAAACTGTCACACAGTCTTGCATGCCCTAGAAGAAAAGCGCTGAGATTGTTTTCTTTTAAGCTTGATGGTGAGTTTTTATTTTTAAAATTTTAACTGCACAACCAAAACTAATCTCTTCAAAGGGAATGGCAGGAATAAAGATAAACAATTAAGTTTTCAAGTGGGCAAACATTCACTGTTTCATTAGGAATTCTATGCACAATTTATAGCCTTTTTCTAGCTTATTCCATATCTCCATGTGGGAGGCCTCAGTCATAACATAACTCTTTGATTTTTCTCTCCTATTACCCTGTGATCTGTTTAATTGCATATCAGTAACACTTATTAAAGTACATTTAACTCCCAAGTAAGGACTTGAAGACCAGAAAGGCTTTCCTATGACTAAGTCACTATCCCTCTCTGGACCTCATTTAAATTACATCAGTAATTTTTAAACTAGGTTCCTTAGAAACCTCCAGGATTGGGTAAGGGGGGTGTACTGAGCAGCATGGGGACAGAAGCTGTGTTTGTGCTGCTTATCTCTGTTTTGCCAGAGTCTAACACTGTGTCTGGTGCAGAAGAGGCCCTTAACAAATATTTTTAAATATTTTTAAGAGAAATTACATGCAGATTCTGCTCCTTTACCAGCTTCAAGAAAAATAGTTTCACTCTTATGTGCTTTATAAATTAGATTTCTACCCAAGATTGTGTCTTGAAAAAGATAGATTCCACTGCAAAAAAAAAAAAAATTAAATAACACTAGATTAGATAGGTGATATCTAAATTCTCTTCCAGACTGTATGATTTTTTTTTAGAAATGAGCATTAGAATCATAAAGTAAAAATATATACTTATCTCTCTTTGAATCCCTACCAAAATAACAAAAAAGGAATAAAGTTGATATAAACCTATAGGAAAAAAAGGGAACAGAAGAGGAGATGGGAGCAGATGAGAGCTTTAGTGAACTTGAGAAGACAGAAAGCAGATAGATGAGTGATAACTTATTTAGAAAACAGAGAAACCTGAAAGCTAGGTGCCCAAGACGTAAGTGGGAAGGAAGGGAAAGTAAGTGGTAGGCTAGGAGAAGCAAGCCAGCTGAACCCACAGAATCTCGTAAAGGCCCAGGATTTGGAGGCCTCAATTACCTCTGAAAGCAGGATGTGGGTGCAGATAAAAATAGAAGGATTAATGAACAGTATGGACAAGAAGCAATAGACCCCAAATCCTTTCCCTTCCACTGGCAATACAGGAATGTCTCTACAGTCAAGACAGAAGACACTAGATTTGATTTTGGGGGACACTGAATCAGGGAGGCTCTGGATTTGGGGGCACCAGGGACACCAAATGGCAGGGTGATGTGATGTGATGAAAACAGAGGGATGAAGTGAAAGTCTGCATGTTGAATGATGAAATTCCCAGACACCATCCCTACTTGGCTTCTGAAACGCTGGCTAACAGCATGGGCCCCCTTCAGGTCCAGAAAAGCATGGGCTTTTGAGAAGATATCTCTCTGAGAGAATTTACCAGCCTGAGAATCCTAAGAATGTTAACATTCTCCAAAAAAAAAAAATGGTAGGAATAAGCCCTACCAGTCCATAATCCCCAAATGCACAGAAAGAACTTAAATTGACTTTTAATGTTTCACAGTTAAATACAAACATATACCCAGGTGGTGGAAAATATCTGAGGAAATCTAACAAAGAAGAAAGAAATAAAAACAAAGGACTCAGGAAACAGATAATGTAGGAAAGAAAATAAAAGTTCAAAAAAATTATTATTAAAATCCTAAAAG